GCTGGGCAGCCTGGGCAGCCCCCTGCACGGGAAGGCACCGTGAGCCTCAGCCGCCGGGCAGGAGCCCCGCGTCCCCCGCGCACAAAGGCTCCCGTGCACACCAACGAGGAGGATCGGGTCGCCAGACCTCGAGCTGTATTACAAGCGATTAGACTCCATTTTGTGACAGATTTTTGGACTCTCCCACCGACCCTCCCCCCTTCCGGAGCCTCCTCCAGGAATTCGCCACCTCCTCAGGATAGAAACCCTTTCCAGACGAGCCAGAGACAGACGGCAAGAAACGAGAGTTACATAATTCTATTTGGCCAAACTGCCAAGAAAAAAATATATGAAGGGGATGTTGTCATTTCCCTGCGCCCCCACTACATTCTCTCGTGGAGGACACGGAGATGCGTGCGCGATTTTGCCGAGGCCGCGTTTCCCCCGGTTTCTAACACGGTTTTCTGTCGGAAAAGAGGCTAAGGTTGTGACTGCTTTTTGTTTTTAAAGAAGGGGCCCTCCTTCCATACACACAGAGAAGGAAGGGAGACTTTTCGAGTTACAAGAGAAAATGCTCAAACCCTGCGGCCGCAATCTCCCTTGCTCTACTAGGACGCTCAGGCGGATTTTTATCAAACGCTACTAAATGTGCCCAAACGCCAATTAATCACCCCCGTGGTGCGTAAAATAACTTTGCGCTTGTGGGTGCCCGGGATTTCTGAGAACAAATCGAAGGGCGGAAGACACTTAAAATGCCAATCCCTTTCTAAGGACCTATCATACATCTCCCACAAAGGCTGAAAGGGGCGAAGACGCCTTTTTTTTTTGACAAAAGTATTAGGGGTAATTTCCCAATCCCGCAGACCCAGATTCGACAAAATCAAGAAGGCGCATTTCTGCGCCATTTGCCTGGATTCTCGTCTGAAAAGCATTTGTGCTCAGATGAAATAAATATGCATCTGCGATCCTCAAAGAAAAAAGAAATCAAGAATAAAAAATATTTCACCGTATAAAGAATATTGCTTCCCAGCGAGCTCCTGCTCGCCAGTGGAGCTTGGAAATGCTGTGCTATGAGAGGGGATTTGTCCCCAAGATTGTGTCGTGAGAAGGCCACCCCGCCCCAGCACACCCCGAGGCCAGCCTAGTGCAGATATCTGGCATTATTAGAAGAAAGAGGGGATTGGGGAGGAGGAGGGGACTGTGAGAAGAGAGAATAATGTCACCGGCTCCCTCCGCCCAGACCTCAGCCTCACAGCACCCAAACTCCAGATTCGCCCTGCTACAAAATTCATTCCCAACACACGGGAATGCACTGAAGACGCAGGTGACTTTTTTTCTTTTTACTCTTTTTCTTTTTAAAACAAATATACCTTGGACAAAGCAGTCGTACAAGTTTAAGCGTTTTATAAAATGAGGGATTAGTTGCTCATCTTGAAGGCAATGTCCAGCTCTAGTTTGTGGCCTGTGCTTGTAGGTCCAGCAGGCATCCATGCCTTCTTTTAAAGAGGAGCCCAGTAATGGTGGCAGTGGTACAGATCTACAAAAGATTGCAAAGTCTTTCCAATGTTTTCAAAAATTTAAAAAAACATACAAATGTTTCTGAGGCCCACTGCTAGTCTCCTGGCTCCACATGTTGAGCTGCCGAGGGCAGTGGCTGTGGTAGATAAGTGGTACCGCCAGAGCCCAGCTCTGGGTCAGGCAGGCAGAGCAAGGCCAGGAGTGCACCCTCAGCCAGTGCTCCCTGGGTCGGCCCAAAGCCCCCAACCACATTTCCTCCCATTTTATTTGAGCTGCTCTCTGCCTGGCTGCCTGTGAAGAAACTGCTGGCCTTTCCCTCTCCAGGAACTAGAGTTCCAAGGTATAGCAGAGCACAGACCCAACCAATGGCCTGCCAGTTGTGTACCGGAATCTGGGGAGCTCCAAACACAGGGAAAGACCTCAGCTGTGCTCTAGGACCAGCAAAAGAGCTGATCCTCTGAATGGACCCCAGTTCCTGCCCACAGAGCTCCCAGTCAACAGGAAGCCCAAGGTGCAAAAACAGCTCCTGCCCATTCTTGAGCTCAGGGATACACAGCCAAGCAACTTTAGGGTAGAACCCAATGCCCTCTCCAGGGCTCTGGCCTGTAGTCCCACTATTTCCAGCCCTCAGCCTAGCTAGTGGAGTCAGGCTGCTCCAATTCCCACCTGGCCCTGGATGTGGGGACAATCCAAGGGCACAGCAGGTAGGCTGCACTCACCACTAGGTACCAGGTTTTGTAGTCTAGCCTTCCTCCAGAGGAGACCTGGGCCCACAAAGCACTTTGAGCCACCTTCCCACCCTGCAGCCCCATTCAAGAAGGTTTTCTAGGCATCACTCAAAAGTTCTCACAGGCACACTTTCCTCTGCAACACAGCAGTCCTGGGGATCCACACACACCTCTTTCCACAGATGCACCTCATTGCCTCCCTCCCAACTGCACTGTCAGGCACAAATCCCAGATGGCTGCAAGAAAAACCTGCACGCTAGTCTGCTCTGCCCCCAGCTTCTTGCCATACAAATCCACAGTCACAGCTAAACACAGAAGTCAGCAGCTAGAGCTCCAACTCAGCCCTGAGAACTAGGCTATACCAAAGCAGAGCCGGCCAACTCTGCCCAACACACACTGCAAGAAAGGAGGCTGTCTGGGAAGGGTTGACCTGGTCAGTTCCTCATCCTAACTCAATTGCAGCTTGTCACCCTTGAGATCCTCTGCCCAGACTGCTTCTCCAGCCAAGAAAAATTGTACATGCAAAATTCTCGGATAGCACGGTTTGGGGAAGATGGACACTCATTTCTCTCCACCAGGGGACTAAAGGTGCAGGAGTAAGCCTGGGTGGATGGGGGCCCAGTATACATCTCTCTGCTCCAGAATCCCAAACTCCCACAACAGGCGCCCTTGGGCTGGGGAAGCACACCGTCAGACTCAGTGCCTAAAGCACTGCCTTTGAAAATCAGTTCTTGGTCCTCACTTCAGAATTCAGTGGGGCCAAGCCCTTCCCAGGTCCCAGGCATCATATCTGCCAGTCGGCCCAGGGATTTGTCTTGTACCCCAATTCAGCCGCTCAGCGCAGGGTTCCAGGACAACAGATGGCACCTAGGGGCCATCCCACTAGGGCCGGCCAGGAGACGCGCAGCCCGCGAATCCCTGGGTGTTGCGGGGCCCAGCGGAGCGCAGAGCCGGCCGGCAAGGCGCCGGCCCGCTCCAGTGCCGGGCAGCGGCGGGGAAGGAGAACGAGAGGCGCTTACTGTTGGTAGTCTTGTTTGCAGTACAGTTTCCGATCCCGGAAGTAGCAGCTGGTGGTGAGGGCTTGCTGACACGCCGCGCACTGCAAACACTCCTCGTGCCAGGACGACTCGTTGACTCGCATCAGGAAGCGGTCGGAGATGGGCCGTTGGCAGCCCTCGCAGACGGCGGGATGCGGGCAGTCGGAGCCTGTATCGCACAGGGCGAGAGCCAGGCCGTCAGCGCCGCCCGGCTCAGCCCCGGCGTCCCGGTCGCGCGGTGCCCACAGCTCCCAGCTGGGAGCCCCGGCCCAGGAGCGCCGTCCGCCGCCTGAGGTCCCCCAGCCTCCGCGCCAGAGGCCGCGCAGCCCCATCCAGTAAGTCCCAGTCCGCGGGCTCTGGCGCAGAGAGGCCGCGGGCCTGGAACCTTGGCTCGGCGCTGCGCTCTGCCCTTCTCCGGAGATCCAGCGCTGGGTGTTAATGCAAACGAAAAGGAGCACCGCGCGGGCTAGCCGGCTGGGACCGAGAAAGGCGAGGTGAAACTGGGACGCTCCCAAGCTGACACGCCCCACATTGGCGTTGGTGGTCGACTGCTCCCATCTCCCCCAAACCTGTGGTTTCAATGGCTCTGGGGATACTTATCTAATAGAAGCTCCTCTTCCCCAGGTGACCTGGCACCTCTCCCAGGCTCGTCAAGGTGACTACGTGGGTCCTCAATCACTCCTGCCACTCGTCTGCTACTCCCACCCCATCTCAGAGTTACAGCTTTAAAACCTAGGCCTGATGAGGATGGACTGAGTGGCGGCTGGAGCTGTCCTGTGTTCTCTCCGCCTGGGTGATGTCCCTGCACATTGTCCCCCCAGGGAGCCTGTCTAGGCGTGCTTGTTGCCCCTCTGGTGATCACTCCAGGAGTCCTGTCCCTGTACCCTCCTCTCCTAAGTCCTGCAAACCCATTTCTTTCATAAGTTGGCCTGGACGCCTGTGTCCACTGCGCGACGACGCCCCTGACCCTACCCGTCGTGACCACTCGGGCATCCCGACCCAGCACTCACCCAGCAGCACCCCCAGAGTGGCGGGCCCGGGGCGCAGGGCGTGCTCCTCCATCTTGATGCCGTCCAACATCTTGGCGCAGTCCGTCTGCCCGCGAGGGAAGCACCTCTCCAGAGACTCGGGACCTGTTGCTATATCCATGGGACGCGGGGTGCGCTGAGGACCCCGCCGGTCGGGCTACTCGCCCGCCCGTGCGTCCGCTCGCCGCCGCCGCCGCGGCCCCGGAGCCGGGGAGGCGCGGCCCCTTCGGGGCTAGGACTGCGGCTCGGGCCGCTCGCTGCCCCGGGCGAGCGTGGAGCGGCGGCGCGCTGGCCCCGGGCCCGGCGTCGTGCGGGCGGGCCGGGGCGGCTGCAGCCCGTGCCGCGCTCTCCCGGGCACTCGCAGCCACGCGCACCGGCTCCTCTGTCACCTGCTTGTCAGCCCCGGAGCCCGGCTGCGGCGGCGGCGGCGGCAGACCGAGCCGCGGGGAGGAGGCGGCGGCCGCGGCCGCGGCGGGCGGGGGAGGGGGCGGGGGTGCAGGGGCGGCCCCGCGGGCTGGGGGGGCCGCGGGCGGCGCAGCGGGGTCCCGGGCGGGGCGCAACGGGCCACGGGGCTCCGGGCGCGCTCCCCGCACTACTCCAGTGCCATGGTGCGCCCGAGGAGCCGCTCGGTTTAGAGCTGGGGCTGGTGGCGGAGGGATACTCCGGCCGGGAGCCGCCTCACCCCTCCTCAAACTTCCTGACATTTGAACTCATTGGTGCGCCTCGTATCCCTGCGCCGGGATGAGCCGGCGGCTCCACGTCAAATAGTGCCGTCGCCGCCCCCCCGCGGGAGGGCTCCCCGCGCCCCCAGCCTGCGCCCCGCGCGGCGTCTGGACCCGAGTGCGGACCCGGGCGCCCTGGCCCGGCCGGCTGTCCCCCTGGCCCTTCACAGAAGTTTGGGTCGCCTGCGAAACAAATCCTGTGTCCCACCCCCTTGAAAAATTGATTTGGGAGTTGGGGAATGAAGGCTTTCTTTTTTCCTTCTTGCCTTCTTGATTATTAATATTTTGTAAGGCTCCAGCGTTAAGAGGAGTGGCCCCGAGCGAGGCCAGACTGCGCGGACGGCGGGAGCGCAGCGGCTCCGCCAGGGGACGGCGCCGGCCGAGAGCGGCCGCCCGGGGACCCCGACTTTCGGCGAGGTAGGTCTCCGAGGCTGAGTTAGCGTCCCCTGGGCGGCGGCGCCGGTCCGGGACAGCTTGGTCCTCGGTGAGGGCTGACTGCCGGGATCGAGGGACCAAGGCGGACAGAAAGGGAGGACCGCTGGTCCCGCACTCGCCAAACGGGGCCCTGGACAGGGAGAAGGGGTGGGCCCGGGGTTTGCGGGAAGGGTCCGGGAAAGCGTAAGGCCTGACAGAGATTGGGCGAGGGAGGGAGCTGGAAAGGACTCCAGATTGAGAACGGGGGACATTGGGAAGGAGGAAGGTCAGGCCTCGGTTCAGACAAGGAATACTTAGAGAACCATTAGGGCTGGGAAAGGGGTCTCGGGCAGCGGCGGGGGCGGTGAGATAAAGCTAGGCCTCTCAGGGTTTGGGGTGTGATGCGTGGGTAGGGAGTGGCGGCCCCAAAGTCTAGGGATGAAGGCCCAGGACGACATGGGTTCGTCCGCTCGAAGGAAATCAGGTGGACGGCTGGAATAGGCGCCCTTTAGCGGTGGACGAAGGATCAGGCCAGGGGTGGGTAAGCTACGTGGGTCAGGGACAGTGCCCTGGCCAACCTAAGCAAAAGTGGGCCTCGACGCTGCGGAGCGAAAAGCCAGCGAGACCGAGTTGGCGACTTCTGCGCCCGTCGAACCTGGCATCAGTGCGAGATGCGAGAGGACACCGCATCTGGCCACAGGACACCGCACCGGTCCCTGGGTCCCCATCGGCTGGCGGCTCCTCTAGGAGGGCGGGTTTGGCCCCAAGGCAGGCGCGGACTTCGCTTGTGAGCCGCTGCGGGGCGGCCCTTGCCGCTCCTGGAGCGGAGCAGCCGCGCGGAGCCGGGCGGGGGCGGAGGGCATGGGGGGGCGGGTCCCCTGACCCCGCTGGAGGCGAGAGGGCGGATCGGATTTGGAGCCTGCGGGAGGCTTGGTCAGAAGTGGCCCCCTGTGCCGCGGGGCCCTGCGGAGGGGCCCGGCTTTGTGGAGGATTAGAGGCTACCGCCCCACCCCAGTACCTGCGTGTGTGTCGGTGGGTATCCGTGTGTATCTGTGCGTGTCGGCGCTCCCGCCTCTGAGGCTATTGCGTACGTGTGTACCCGTGTCTCTGGGCACACACAGTATTTTTGTCCCTGTGACTTTATGGGCTCTAAGCGTGTGATTCTGTGAATCCGTATCTGATTCCCCTGTATCCTCGTGTGTGTGCAAATCTGCAGATCCTTCCGTGCCGCTGTGTCTTAGGTGTTTTGTACGTCTTTGTGTGTATCCCTGTGTGTCTGTGTCACTCTGTGCGGGTGTTTTTGTGTGCGTCTCTGTTCCTGTATGTGTCCGAGAGATTTTTCCATATGCTTATCTCCACGTTAGCTTTGTGTTTCTATGCCTATCCCCGAGTTTCTGAATGATTCTGTGTCTCCCGGAGGTTTTTGTGTGTGTGGCTTTGTGTTCCATCTATTTCTCGGCGCCTTTGTGTGTCTGTATCCGGGAGGATGGATAAGTGGATGTGGAGTTTCCCTCACACGCTTTTCGTTCCCTGTTCTTGCTAACCCTGGGAAACCCCAAGCCTTGAGACCCGAGGTTGGGCCTGGGCCTGGGCTGCCTTCTCTGGGCATCTGGGCCTGGGCGCGCCGCTGCGGGGAGAACCCGGCGGGTAAGGCTTGGGCATGCAGAGTTGCGTGCGAGGCGCGGAACTCCGCGCAGGGCCGGCGGGCGGCCCGGGCGCATTCCGCCCTCTGCTGGCCACGGTGCGTCTTGCAACCACCGCTGGCACCGACTGTAGGTGAAAATCCTCCATTCAGGCCCAGATCCTTGCTCTCTTTCAGGGCGCACAGGGGTATCCTCCTCGGTCACAGTCCCACCGGATCCCTAACTGGTGCAGAGTTCCTCCTCCTCTTTCCCACTACACCTTCATCGTGCCTGGCTTCTTTCCTTCCATACTTTTCCTTTCCCTCCTAGGCTGGATGAAGGCTTCCTGTTGCCTGGCCTTCGAGGCTTCTCTGACCCTCGAACTAGCGTCCAGAGCCGAGTTGGGGGTCGTTGGATGTGTCCAGAGGCGCGATCCCGGGGCGCCTGAAGGCCGGGTCTCAGCGGAGGACACACTGTTAGCCCCCGTTTGGTTCCGCGGCTGGTTCCTGGGCAAATAGATTATATTCATAGATTCCCGCGCCCCTTGTCCAAGACACAGTCCTTGTCGCCAGGGCCGACCTGGGGCGGGCTACCGAAGCGCTTGCTAGTGGACAGTGGAGATGAACAAGCAGCTTTCTCTGGTCTGGATGGGGATGCAAAGTCCATACCCCCGACCCCTTCTCAGTCACTGCCTCCTCCTCCCCGTATGCCCTCTTCCTTGCCCTTTGTCTCGGCTCCCCAGGTCCCCCAGTTGAGTTGCCCGTCCGGGTCCGCACACAGCCGCGCGGAGGCTCCAGGTTTCTTCTAAGCACGACTAGGACTCTTGCGCCTCCTCTCTGCAGAAGAATAAGCCGACTAGACGGGAGGACGGTGGGCCTAGGCTCGGGGCTGCTTCTGCCCGAGGGCGGCAAGCGGCACCTGACCCCGTAGGATCTGAGCCGAGTGCGCTCGCGTATCCGCGGAGTCCTCTGGCATCCAGAGACCCACGGCGCCCGCGGCCGCTCGACCCGAGCGCGCCGTCCGACCCGGGATGCTCTGGCTCAGAGTTCCGCAAAACAGCTCGGGATAATCTCCACCTGCGGAACGATGCGTGGGCGGCTCGCGATAGCTTGCAAGAAGACCGGAAAGATCTGGACTCTTCCCAGGCTTGCGGACCCCGCGTCTCCACTGAGCCCTGCCCGGGGTCCCCTTGCTCCTCTTCGTAGGCCCTTGCACCTTCTCCCCCAGCGCGACCCGCCTCCTACGAGCGCGGCGGGTAGGGCTCTCCCCTCGGAGCTCCAGCTGCTTTGTGCTTCAGAGTCGGAGTCAGGGAACCTTCCTAGTTTACAACTCCGACTGGATCCGGGCAGGGATGGAGCCCGGCTCGGGAGCTTCGAACACCTCGATCAGGCTTTCCCCGCCGAAATCCAGGGCGGCTGAGCTCCTGGGGCCATCGGGGCCTCAGCTCCGCCAAAGTCAGCCACATTGGATCACTGGATCAGAGCTGCCCCAAGCCGCGGGCCAGGATAGATGCTGTTGTTCTCGGACTCGGCCCGCGACCCCGGGTGCTGGGAGAACCACACAGCCTCCGGAAGCTGAGATTCTCGCTGCCGGGTGCTGGGAATTTTCAACCCAGCCTCAGCCCTGTTCTCCTCCGTGCATCCCCGCTGAATCTGACCCAGGACACATGGGTCAAAGGGTCAGGCCATCGTAAAGTAACATGGTCACTTTCCCACAGCCCAGGGAAAAATGTTTGTGGTCTTCTTGTGCCAGTGGGAGAGCTCCAGAGACCCTGAGCCCAGGTATCGGCCCAGGGAGAAGAGTGACAGGAAGGACTGTTGGGTGTCTTTGACTGGTCGCTGGCAGCTGTGTCTCACTGTGGCCGTGGGGTTTTCGAGGCTGGTGGGAGAGGGGTGGCAGTGTGGGCTTGGAGGCTGTGTGCTAGTGTGTACCTGTGTCCAGTGTGGGAGGAGAAGTCCCTCTGTGTCCTGCTGTCCCCCCCTGTGGCCACAGACCCATGACTTTTCAGCACAAGGTCTGTGTCATTAGTCAGGATCCTCCACATGTCAGGAGAGCAGGCTCCTCAGGACCCCTGCTCTAAAAGGGACAGTGCTGGGGGGCCCAGGGCGGAGGTCTCCCATTAGCCAGGTAGTGGATAGGAGAGATCAAGAGCAGGACTCAGCCTGGAGTGGCTCAAGTCGAATAGCACCTTCCTAGTAAGTGTGAGGCCCTGAATTCAAACCCCAGCACTGCCAAAAAAGTACAGAAAAAAGAGCAGAACTCAGGGAGTCCCCCCCAGATCTGGCTCAGAGGGATCCTGGGCAAGTCCTGAACCTGGGCACCTCACAGTCTCTGTCCCATGGATATACTGGTGGCATTGAGCCCACAGGGCTGCTGAGAGGACCATATGTAAACGCTCACCACATGCCAGCACACCTCTAAAAATACTTGGTGAAGAATTGAAAGAAAGGAGGTCCTGCTACCAGGACATCACAGCTGCCTCCTCTTCATCCAGATCTGGAGGGAAAACAGAGCCACCCTGAGTTCCACCATGTCCCTTCCCTTTCTTCAGGGCAGGTAAAGCTCAGATGCAGGCTTCTGGGCACTGGGCACAGGAGACGCAGGGACCCGGCAGGTCCTAGACACCCAGCACAGACAACTTAGCCTTCTCCACTCTCTGTGCCCTAGGAGCCTGGGGCCTACAATAGCTGCTGGCAGTCAGGTCTTTGGAAAGCAACAGAATTAGGGGCTTTGGTCCATTGCATCAAAAATATAAATATAAGGTGTCACTTATATTTATTTTTTATCGGGCGCTTTCCTCAACAATCTTTGGATTTTTTTGCCAAATGGATGGGTTGTATTATTTTAGCAGCCCATCTAGAATCGGGGGCTTCCCCAACCAAGGACCTGAGCCAGAACAAAGAGAAGGCCAAGGAGCATAGCCGGAGCCATAAAAACCCCATCAGGATTCTCAGAATAACTACAGAAAGACATTTTATATGAATTGGACACAAATTCACAAAAGCCAGAGAGTTCATTGGTCTCCACCCCAAGGGTCTGTGGCTGGGGAAGGAGGCTGGGTGTGAGGGGGAGGCAGCGCCTGTCCTATTTGATCTTTATCTTAAATCCACTTCAAAACACTGCGGCTCAGTGGAGTTGGAGGTTCACCCCTTCCTGTAATTATTTGGTGTCTAGTAAAGTTTTTATGAGTGTCTGTGCAAATAAGTGCATCTGACGTGCATTCGTTTTGGCTAGAGTTGGCTAGAGCCGCTCAATGGAAGAGTTGCATGCATGTTCTGTTGGAAAAGTAAAAGAACAACAGTGAAAATAAAAATAAAACCAAGACCTCCGCAGGAGGCAGAGGGTGGAGCCCTCTGATGTCAGGGGCCCTTGGGGCCCAAGGATGCTGCCAGTTGAGTTTGCAGCCTTTTAGGGTGGTTGTGTGGGGTGCTCAGCTTCTGGGAAGGCTTTTTTGCAAACAGAACAAGGCTTGCCTGTTGACCACTGCCTTTTGGGTATTCTTGGTAAAGGAAAATGAATAATAAACAGGGGTGAGTTTTTTTTTTTTTTGCGGGGGTGTGTGCATTTTTATAAAAGTGGTACAGCAAGCCTGTTTCTCCAAATGTGGGTTCAGCAGATCTGGCTGGGAGGTGGGGCTGGTCAGCCCTTTCTCAACAAGGCAGCGGGTGGGAGAGAGTGGGTGGCTTGCCAAAGAAGCAGCCATCCTGCCCATCGACCTCTGTCCCCTGAGGGCAAGGAGCCAGGCCTGGTGTCAGGGCCTGCAAACACCCGTGCCCATCTTGGGTCTCCAGAGAGGCCCAGGGTTAATGCATCCTGCAGGTGTGTTGGGTGGGGCTCCCAAGGGCTTGCTCTCTCCTCCCAGCCCTGCGGTCTTGCTTTGCTTTAAAATCATTTTCGCATTTTCATTGAAGTATAATACGCATAAAGAAAAGTTCACAAAACATAAAATTATAAATGGGACACACCCATGCCACCAACCCCCAGATTAAGAGGGAGAGTGCTCTTGCTTCCCAGAGCCCTGCGTTGTGCCTGCCTGCCAGCCATCGCCACCTTCTCCTCCCAGGACACCACTGCTAAAGGCGTTCTCACCCTTTCTGAGTTCTTCCTGTTTTTGAATTTTATATAAATGAAAATTTGCATGAAAAGCTGATATTCCCTCCTGAATACTCAGGGGTCCTGTGACTCTTCACCCTCATTCCAGTGGGGCTGATAATCTGGAGCTGAATTGTGCACCCGTTCCCCCTTCCCACCCTACCTAGGCAGGACTCACTCCCTATTTCTGTGTCCTGCCAGGGGGCATTCATGTGGTAACTCATGCTATAAACCCAGAGTTTCTTTAATCTGGCCCCCAAAGTACACCCAGGACCTTCTCTCAATCCAGTCCCTCCATCAGTGTCTAGTATCCTCTGAGGCAGAGATCATGGGACCTTGTAACAGGTGAGCAAATCAGCACCTCAGAGAGGTGAAGTCACTTGCCCAGGGTCACACAGCATTGAAAGGGTCAGATCCCAGATTCAAACTCAGTTGGCTGAACTCCAGACCCCAGGCTCTTGTCACCTTTCCACATGGTTCCCCTGGGCATCCAGGCCCAGGCGTGAACAGTCCCCTCCTGCCTCCTTCCAGCCGGGAGGAAGCTGGACTTTTTCCAAAGGAAACGCTGGGAAATACAAAACCCCAAACAGCAAACAGGGCAGAGATGGTTCCCAGGCCCTGGCTGCCTAACCTCGGGTGATGCAAGCCTGGTCCTGGCTGGTTGGGTCAGGACTGAGGCAGCCTCCCCAAGTGCATCCCCAGGCGGGTGGCTTTGTGCCATTCACCAAGTGTCCACGCCTTGCCAGCACTTCATAGCTCTCAGCCTGAGCACTCAGTGTGCCTGGGAGGGAGCGATCACCATTCAGCCCCACTTCACAGATGAGGAAACTGATGATCAGAGAGGTCCAATGTCCTGCCTTGGACCTCAAGTTTCTGAGGGCCTGAGCTCTGAGTTTTGCATACACTGAGGATGACTCTGCTATAGTTGCCCTGTGCTACCCTTTCCTGCTTTTATCCTCACCTCGGCCCCTTATCTGAGCCACCTCCGTGGTCCTGTTGTGCTGCACGTGTGGCCAGGTGGTTCCTCTTGGGTGCCCAGGGATTATGGAGTCTGACAGGCATGGATTGAGGCTGAGTTGCAATAGCTACTTGGTAGTCCTGGTCTATCTCCTCATCTGGAAAGTGAGAATGAGTTTACTACTTTCCACACTATGAGGGAGCTTAGCAAGCAAGGTCTGGGGTCTTTTGAATCTGAAAGAATTGTCAGTGGCTTTTTAGAAGGGTCAGGGGGATATGCACTGGATATGCAAAGGCCCTGAGGCAGGAAAGCACTTGAGTCTTGGAAGACTACATGTTGACAGGTACCATAGGGCCTTGCAGATCATGGAAAGGAGTGTGGACTTGCACCTGATAGCAGTGGGGAATTGTGAGAGGTTGTCAATGTCAAGTTTGTTGTTTAGGAAGATCTGTTTGGCTGCAGTGAGGGGTGAGACCATAGGCGAGGGGCCAAGTGACGAGGCCCTCGGGTTTCAATATCCCTTTTGTATGGAATGAGGCTGGGCGGTCCGCAGAGCAGACCTTATCCTCCAATTTCCCATAGAGCTTGTGTTTCCAGATTCAGGGTTTCATGTTAC